GTACATAGAGTATGTATCACAAGTGTTATTGACTAATTAGAAAAGTTAAAAGATAACAAGCAATGAGATGGCTTGAACCACACTGATAACAAGTGTCAAATTATTGCCATTAAGAATAAAAACACAAAATTCAGTTTAAAAAATGCTCTAACCTTCCTACACACTTCAGCAAGTCAGGGGGATTAAAGCACACTTTTCCTTAACCTCTTGAGTATGAATTGGTCGATTGAATATCACCACAATATAACAACCTCATGAATATGATGACAACCTCATGAATATAACCTCATGGGTATTATAACAACCTCATGAATATGATAACCTCATGAATATGATGACAACCTCATGAATATAACAACCTCGTGGATATGATAACCTCATGGATATGATAACCCCATGAATATTTTGACAACCTCATGGATATGATGACAACCTCGTGGATATGATGACAACCTCGTGGATATGATGACAACCTCGTGGATATGATGACAACCTCGTGGATATGATGACAACCTCGTGGATATGATAACCTCATGGATATGATAACCCCATGAATATTTTGACAACCTCATGGATATGATGACAACCTCATGGATATGATGACAACCTCGTAGATATGATGACAACCTCGTGGATATGATGACAACCTCGTGGATATGATGACAACCTCGTGGATATGATGACAACCTCGTGGATATGATGAGAACCCTTTGAATATGATAACCTTTTCATATCTGAGTATGATTGATGACGCAATGCCTTGACCATGAAGAATTATTCTTTAAAGTAAGATAACTTCTTTTCTTTAATTAAACAGCATTAAATCATCTCGCTGAGGTGTCTCCTCGCCAAACAATAATTTAGATATTTAAAACAGTGGGATTTGTGACTGATGGAGGTTATATGAGAGTAACAACAGAGTGAGACAGGGAAGAGACATCCCTTACGTAAATGTTTGACAGCTATTCAGTAATAAATAGGGCGTGACTTTGTACGTGATTACAAGATTCACTGAAGCAGTTTTAGCTAAATACGTTTAGTTTTTCCTGGTAAGACTTCAAGTGCAATCTTCCTGTAGAAATGAGACTGGGTAAGTGACAGTGAAGGATAAGAATTGTTTGTCCTGCCATTATGCTGACGAGGTACACCCTCTATTGCCCCATGACTTATTGTATTGTGTATAACCTGTCTCCCATAGCTGTACCAGCGCTCCCTACCTCTGTGTTTTTCCTCTGTGGCATAACCTCAGACCCTTCAAATTATCCTGCATCAATTATCTTCAGCTTACAAGAAGGGGATGCCTTGATGAACAGAATTAACAGTGATGCTTTTGTCTGATCTCTGTTGTGTGAAACAAGTGACATAAGTAGAGAAAGTTTCAACTCGGAAAATTATTTTTGTATTCATAATTTTTCAAAGAAAAGTCAATTGTGGACCAGATCAACCCAGTCAGTGTCTCATTACTGAGGAGATAATCAGGGAAAATGAGAGAGTAATGTACGTGTTGATGGTGTTAGGGTAAAGACTACTTATTACCAGAGTAAAAATGATCTGACTTGAAATTTTGACAAATCTAGTATAACGAATTCTCATATTGGTAATTATTGAAGACTGTCCTGTGGCCGATTTTTCATAGAAAATGATTATAAAAATGCAGCAATTTCACTGTTTTATAATGGACACTCATAGTTTGTGCAAATGTGTTAAAAAACGGCTATGTCTAAATTAAACCTAACCAAACCCTATTTGATACGAAAAACAAGCAGTAGAAGTGTTGTCAGCCTAACCAAACAAACCTTTCTGGATGGTTCATCTCCCGTCACGATCTTCGAGAGAAAGGTGCTTCCCCGTCTGGTCCCCGAGATATGCTAGGGACTGTTAATTGATTGAAAATGTCCAAAGGAGGGCCACCAGACAGGTGCCTGCTCCACAGAACCTCAGTTACCCAGAGAGATTGGAGCACCTACAACTACCTAGCTTATACTGCAGACGGGTGAGGGGCGACCTGATTGAAGTGTATAAACATCTCAGGGGGCACTACTCGGTCGAATGTACATACCCGGAGTTAGCGGACGTCCGCCCAAGAAGTGGTCACGGCTCAAGGTTGAAGAAGCCGCAACTCCAGAAAACCGCGAAGGCAAATTTTTTCGGAGTGAGAATTGTGAACTCTCGGAACAATCTGCCAGAGAATGTTGCGACGGCACCGGGTGTGAGCTCTTTGAAGGCCAGACTTGGGCAACACTGGAGCAGGTTCTGATATGTTCAGGCGCCAGTACATGCCCAGTATCTGCCAACAGTGTGTATAAGAGATGAGACCGACTGCCCAAGCAGCTAACGAGCCGATCAGTAAAAAGTAAAGTAAAAGTTAATTTCCTAGCCCGGGGCCTCCAGTATATTAAACAACTTACTATGATATGGTGGTAATTTTAATTTTTTTTGTGGATGTAAGAGCAGCCGTCCGTAATGAGCCAGCCCGGGCGGTGGAGTGTTTTGAAATACCTCTACGTATATGATTGGCTGTTTATACATCGTGGGATGAGACGTCACTACCGCCGAGAAGACGGAGTAGTGCACGCCGAGGCGCCTAATTATCTACCAAACAAAGCAATTACACAAGAAACGATTATCATATCAGAACTCACTGATGAAAATAACCCAGCTGATGGTTGTTGCACCTGTTGGATCCCAGTAAAACCACATTCATTTATCTCTAAAGTGAAAAGTTAAAAAGTGATAAATAGTGAATTTTTATAGAAGAACAAAAATATAAATGAAAGAGCTTAAACACCTGCAGTGATACGGTGGTTAACGTAGTTAAGGTATTCCCGCCTAAATCCAAAGCCCCCCCACCATCCTTAACTACTCTGGAAGCTGTGGCAGAAGGTCAGTTCTGATCAAAACCCCAGCCAAGGTAGTGCAACCTGACCCAAGGATATATCATATCTCTAGACTCTCTTCAGCTGCTTCTTCTAATACCTGCCCCGTACATCTAAGTACAGTACTGTATGTCTCTTGGTTTACATCGTTAAAAAAGTGTTGTAAAGGAATTAGTTTTACTTTTCTTTTCTTTTTTTACGAGCATTAGCCAACCCGGGCACAGGTCAGTGACCCACATCAAGGCCTGGGGGCAAAAATATTATTATTTTTATTATTATTATTACTACTACTGTTATTATTATTACTACTGTTATTATTATTATTATAATAATAATAATAATAATTACTAATAATTAATAACAATAATAATAATAACCAAAATAAACACAAAAATTTAAAATAAATCAAGAGTGAGAATGATATACAGTATATACATTGTGTTGTCAATAGTAAGAGAAATAATTGAGACCCTGCAATTGTGTGTAAAATGAGGCAGAAAGTCAGATCAGCAACCTGGGACTTGGTCACAATTTTTGTGATGCCATATAGCAGCAGGGTCTACCATTAGACAACACATTATGCTTCCAATACGTATCTTCCCAGGTGGTAGTACCTCCCTGTTTGGTAGCTGCCTACTACCTGGTACAACTTGGTTATATATTTCAGTAATTATGGACTTGTTCCTATTCAAGTATGTATGTATGATTGATCTTGATACTGAGCAGATTTCTGCACTTGACCCCAGATGATCTGCTTATCATTTCAGACACTTGTGGTCCACCTGTTTGAGCGGCTGGATGAAGTCGGGCTCACGGTCAACATGGCCACCTCTAGCTTCGGCCAGGGCACAGTAACCTACTTCAGCCATGCGTTCAGCCAAAGATAAACCCGACCAAAGTGGGGAAGATTTGGAAGTTTCAACTGATATTTTTGTATAAGTGTTAAAATATTAAAGAATATCCCTATTTGTAAAATAAATGCACCGTAAAATTAACATGTCTTATTTCTTACCCCTTGTCTATTGAGTCAATTTTTAGTTTCAACCACAAAGGTCTGAGTGTGTTTTTCTGATGTTTAGATTTTAGACAATTTTTAGACCCTTTTCTTCTGACCTCTTGAAAACTGGACCACTTCCTTTGCTTAAGGAACATCTGGAGATAGTGGGGACAGCTATTCATGAATTGGTCCCTCCCTAGAAGATCCTTAACTGGTCATAATCGGTCACCTGGCTTGGAAGTTATTGATTATAAATTTAAATACCTTACTGGTGAGTAATGCAGTGAGGATAATGGGCCAGGTATCTTTACTCCACTTAGGCACTTCCTCAAACCTGCACAAGAGTCCATCTGGTCCCGCAGCTCGTCAAAAGCTGGAAGCTTGGGTGGCCGAACTGACACTGTTGAAGGTGTGGTCGCGATCCAGACTTCAACTCCAACTGTAGTTCTAACTACTTCCTCAAATCACCTGTACTCTCTCTTCTGCTCTTTCTTGAGTTTTCTACATAAAGACAGTTTCCCTGGATAAACTATAAAAATCGACAGGTAGCTTGAATTCAATGTTTCCTTCCCAATTCACAATGGTAAAAATGATAAGAGTCCTTGAGCCCTTGTTTGGGAGCCAAAATCTGTGGTGGAAGATCCACTTGGGGAATACCAAAGGTTGGCACAATTTTGTATTTGTGAGACCTTTTACCAGCTACTACACTGATCAAACTTGGAAGGATAAATAAGGAAATTAGGTTAATAAAAATGCGTATACTACTGTACTGTACAATCTAACAGAGCCAATATATGCCAACAGTGCATAAGAGAGAGCCAGTACTTGTCAACAGTGTTAAGAGTTAGTACATGCCAACAATGTAACAGCATGAAGTCAGGGTATATGAAGTTTGCTGCCCTAACGTGGAAATATAATTTCAGTCTGCCGATTGGCTTGAGCCCCAAGTGTATACCTGTGTTATACACCTGACTGATCTTGCACACATCATCTTGCCAGAGCATAATGACAGCAGTGCACACATGACATACATATTGGCTCCCAACTGATAATTGTGAAAGAGTGGAGACAGAGAAGGTGATAATTTTGTTCACATAATATGGAGGAAAACTAATGAAACACTACACTACATCAACTTTCAACAAAGAATGTATTGTATATTTGGGATACAGGTACAGTACTAACAACATAACCCAGACAGATACTAATCTTTCTTTCCTTAGTGTGGTCTTGTTCCATGATAACATTATATACAGTGTAACCTCTATTTAACGGACTACAGGGAGAGGAAAGTCCATTATATCGAGGGTCCGTTAGGTGTGAAACCCCCAACAAACAAAATTAAATTAACACTTAGCAATATCTGGCATCTACTTCTAGGCCATATATATCATTGGTTTATATCAACCGACGGTACTTTTCTTCACATATTATGTCGGAAATACCAAATAGGAAAACCCACTCCTTAACAAAAAGAAATAACTGAGAAAATACATAAAAATTTCAATCCACTTCATCTAATGATCCTTAAGTACAGTACTGTACCTACTGTATATGCCAGATACTGTACTGCCAAGTGTCCAGGGAATTTTGTCTGCTATAGTACTCTACATATAATCCCTTCCTAACTGCAAAGTCTAAGAACACCATTTAAATATACTTCAATCATATATACTATACTATACATACTTATACTTTACCACCTCAGACATGCTGTGAGAAAGGGATTAAATAAATCTAAATTATACCTAAGCAAATGTAGTCAAATCTATCATGAAAAACAATATATTTTCTAAGTTACAGTATATAGTTTGTTAAAGTAAAAATCAAATTGCTGAAAAACATTATTATTTTGATAAACTAAACAAGTTGTGACTATGCTACTTCCCAAAGGCACCTCATTAACTATTGAGTAAAGTTTCTCTACAGTAAGACTTGATGAAGGCTATATGCACGTTTACCCACCAAAAGAGACATTAAAAAACCTTAATACTGTATGAATTCTAACCTATGGACGAATTCACACCAAGACTGGCTTTGAGCAGACATGATTTAAAAGCAGATGGAGTGCAGACAAGTCCTCACTGCAGGCACCTCAAAGATGTATATGGTCATTTTAATGCATAAAGTTAGCAGGCTTTACGATATTCAAGGCAGAGTTTAAGGCAATTTATGTATGCAAGTAAAACTTTAGAGTAGAGGTGGTAGCATGTAACAAGTTGGTGCAGATAATCCTGTTTCACTCTAGAACGACCTTATCTCACTTGAGAGGAGTGCGGCCAGAGTTGAAAGCACCATAGGGGGAGTCTGTCTCATTCCTGGATCTGGCCCAGAGGGCACCATAGGGGGAGTCTGTCTCATTCCTGGATCTGGCCCAGAGGGCACCACAGGGGGAGTCTGTCTCATTCCTGGATCTGACCCAGAGGGTACCACAGGGGGAGTCTGTCTCATTCCTGGATCTGGCCCAGAGGGCACCACAGGGGGAGTCTGTCTCATTCCTGAATATGGCCCAGAGGGCACCACAGTGCGATAAAATCTACCAGAGTATGGAGAGGGAACTGGGTGTGTGGTATGGTGACACTTTTTAAAGCTACATTTGATAATGGTAACAACATGCTAGCAGGTAGTATTCAAGTGAAAGAAAGGTTCCTTGTCAGGATGACAAGCTATCAACATATCTTTTGAAGACAACACAAACTCTCAATAAATTACTGAAGTAATCAATCATATCGATTACAATATAACATATAGAACATAAATGTATAAAACTGCTTTATAAGCAATAAATATGACATATAATCATGTCCATACATACAGTAAGTACCCTTTAAAGGCAAAACATTACCATGGCAATAAATGAGGTAAAAAATATTGGTGTCTGACTGGAGGGATGGATGGCAGCCATTCATTAAAGAAAACATGAGGTATTGTGATACAGTACTGCACGTGAGCACCAAGAGGCAGGAGCAACAGTTCTCAACCAGAGCCATAGATAGAGAAAATTTGGCCAACCAGGTGTCCTGTTGTTACACAGTGGGTGGAACTGGGAGGTCTTCTCAGGCAGAGCAGCTGCGGCTGCTGTTCTCGTTATGTCCCCCACATAATGATCGGATTTATAATTAATATCACATGACCATATATGAAAAACCTTTATTAATGAGAGGGTCCTCATATTATTACCAAATTGATACCTGTACTGTATATTATTTATATATGTAAATTCATATTAATCAATGTCGCACCTACAATGTTGTCTTAATTATATTTTTTTTAGAATAAAGTTTAGAATAGAAAGTGAGTTATCTGAAGAGCAAAATGGATTTAAAAGGGGAACAGGAACTAGAGAAGCTATGTTTGGATTGAGAATTTTCACTGAAAGAGCTTTAGAGGTCCAATGAAATTTGTATCTGCTTTGTTGATTTTGAAAAATCTTTTGATGAGTAATAAAATGGCGCCCATGTGTCATAGGAGTGATTCAGTCAATCGGGTTCGATCACCGAGTTAACTGAATTCTATTCATCTATGGCTCTGTTCCCACCGACACAATACATCTCACCTTCTACTCTGTCAACAATGAACTTCAATCACAAAGCTGAACAAAATATTATAAAATAAAATACTAGATAAGTAAATAACTAATATAAAATCAGTACAAGGGATAGAGGTTCAACTGAATCATATCATCATAAATGACAACACTGTTAACCTGTGGGGCAGATCCAGGCTGTTATAATGATTCAATAACCTAACTCTACCTAGGGAGGTATAGGTTAGGTGAGCACCAAGAGAGCCCCCCACATGATCCTAGGAGGGCTGAAGACAGGGCTGGATCCCTCAGTGAGCACCAAGACAGAACACCCCCCCCACCTAGGGCATGTACAACATTTCCTCTTAAAAATATTAAAATGACAAACACAAACTCATTATATTAAGTAACACAGTAATATAGCCCAATGGAAAATACAAATAATAAATTCTGTTTCAGTTTTTATAAATCTCTAAGCAATAACTGTACCAGCATATACTGTAGTCAGCTCTTTTTGGTACTAAGTACTATACCTGACCTAAACTAAATACAACATTAGTACCTGCAAACAGAATGTGGGTTGTGTGTACAGTACTACGAGTATAAATGTGTCTATATAGGGGTTGGCTTTGGTTAATGTTAAGTTGTGTTCATCTACTTGTTGTGGCTGTCTCGTCACACAACTCACTTATATTTCTTAAAACTAAAAGGTCTTCAAAATCAATAAATGGTTAACATTAAATTTCCCATTAAAATAATATAATGAGGAACAAAAGATACTTTTCAATGTAGAATGGTTGTGATTCTTTCCCCTTAATAAGTATTTTGGACATTATAGGTGTAAAGTACAGTAAATAATAGGCATTTCTGGCTATATGGTTCCTACACTTTGATAGTCTCCAACCTAAGTGAACCAAGACTGGGTTACATTACCAATGAACCAACAGACTGGGATACATTAACCACCAATCTTTATCATACAGTATACAGTCAGATTGGAGCCTACTATCACCAGGGCATTGTAGGAGTGAAACCCTTTGAAGCAGTGAATCACAATCAGTCACACCAAACATATATTTAACAACAGTTTATTAATTACTATATGTTATCCTTGTTACCAATTTATTTCATTTCACTACACTATCCTCATGTAATTAAGTCAACTCCAACGACCAGTTTTAGAACATTCCCGGTTGATCAGTCTCCTTGTTCCCTTGCTTCTCAAAGAACATGAAATCCTGAAAAATAAAAACTTTATAAATTTCAACAATATTGGTGATACTTATACTGCGCGGTCGTTCAGTCTCTGTGCAATTTGAAATTATTGATAACCTCATTTACTGTGACCATTTCTAATATTTAGTGCAATTAGAATGAGGAAAATTACTATGATGAAATGTATTATAGTTGACAACTAAACAAGCAGGAATAGAATGGTACAACGGTAATACATAACCCTCACACATATAGTCGTGTTAGAAACTCTTTATATCAATCTTTTCCCCTGGGAGACCCCAACGGGCTCATGTTTTAACCATGCAAGTGAACCGCTGCTCAAGCACAGTAAAATGATCATAACACTGCCAACTATGTTGGTACAGCAAGTCCTCGTTTAACGTTGCCCCCGGCAACGTTGTTTCGTTATAGCTTTGCTACTCTTTAGATACTCATGATTCGGACAACATCCAGCCGATTAGGTATAACGTCGTCACGGACTTCTTTGTAAGGTGCATCACCCTCTCTCACCCAGTCAAAGCGGGGGGAGGAGCCACCCTCCGGGTCTCAGTGACTCGCCACCCACTTGCTACACCTCTGCCCATCTGTGAGTACAATACAAAATGATTAAGTTTATTTATCTTTTTGGATGTATAATATATATTTTCTTTAAAAATTCCATTGAATTTATGTATATGTAATGTACTTTATGAGTCAAAGGGAGGCTGGGGAATGTAACTCCCGTATTTTATCTATTTCTTTTGGGGAAAATTTATTCCATTAATGTTGTTTCCGTTAACGTCGCGGTTTTCAGGAACATAACCACGACGTTAGGTGAGGAGTTACTGTATATAACAGACCGAGTAAGTTATTATTCCGGATCCGGATATAACAGACTTTTGACCTTAACAGACCAGCCTCCCCCCAATTAGTCCATTATATCAGGGGTTTACTTGTATACATAAACAAATAATTACAGTACAGTGCTCCTCGTATAACGTCGTCCCGCTTAACATTGTTTCGGTAGTAAGTCGCTGAACTTTAGACCAAAAATTCGTTTAACGTCCCGGGATCCGATACTGCGTCGTTTTACGTTGTCAAGGACTACTTTCTACGGCGCATCACCCGCACTTGTCTGGCCGCGCTACGCTCTCTCGGCTCGGCGCACTGCCCTCACTTGCGGAACGTCACAGCGTCCCCAAGCCAGTCTCTGTTACGACTACACATAATTCATGTGTGCTTAAGTGTTTTTGTTCTAAAACTGTACTATAACCATTCAAAATGGTTTTCAAACACCCAACATGTGCTACTGATGCTAGTGTAGTGAAGAGGCAACGTAAACCATTACCCTTGCTACGAAAATGGATGTATTAAGCCGATTTGAAAAAGGGGAACGAGCTGTGGACAAAGCCGCTGTGATTGGTCTAACCCCCACAATGGTGCATACTATCCAGACCAATGCTGACAAGATTAAGGTTAGTGCTGGAAGTGGTACTACTCTCAGTGCAACTAAAACAACTCGTACTAGAAGCACTGTGATAGAAAAAGTGGAAAAGATGCTGGCTATGTGGAAGGAGGACCAGAATCAATGCAATGCACCTGTGAGCCTTATGGTTATCCAGCATAAGGACAGATCCTTGTTTGACGACATAAAGGCAGAAGAGGGTGAAGGATCGAAGGAAGAGACCTTTACGGCAGCCGAGGATGATTTCAACAATTTAAACGCAGGTATAACTTCCACAATATTAAGATGACTGGTGAAGCTGCCAGTTCAGATACGGTTGCTGTCGAGACATTCCCGCCAGAATTCAAACAGATTATCCAGGAAGGAGGCTACTCATTGAAACAAATCTCCAATGTGGCTGAGACTGGTCTCTTTTGGAAGAGGATGCCTGAGAGGACCTATATCTCCAAGGAGGAGAAAAAAGCGCCAGGTTTTAAAGCTGCAAAAGACCGCTTGACGCTGCTGCTTGGTGCAAACGCTGCTGGCGACTTCAAGCTGAAGCCTATGTTGATTTCTCGCGCTGGAAACCCATGGGCTCTGAAAGGTTACTCTAAGGATCACCTTCCTGTCATTAACAAGGCAAACAAAAGGGCATGGATAACCGGCACCATATTTAGCCAGTGGTTAAACGTGTAAACTGTCCCTGCACTGAAGGAATACTGTGCCAAGGAGAACCTTGACTTCAAAATTCTTTTGATCCTTGACAATGCTCCAGCTCATCCTCCCAATTTCGACGACTTGCATGACAATGTAAATGTTGTATTCCTGCCTCCCAACACGACAGCACTGAGGCAGCCTATGGACCAAGGCGTCATAGCCGCATTCAAGGCGTCTTATTTATGCCGTGCCATGGCCCAGCTGCTCAAGGCTAAAGACGGAGAAAATAAACCCATGATCCGAGAATATTGGAGCAGCTTCAACATTCTTCATGCAATTGACAACATTGGCAAGGCATGGGAAGAGGTTTCAGAAAGTTGCCTGAATGGTGTGTAGAGTAAACTGTGGCCCGAGTGCATCAACAGTTTTACGGGATTCACGGACTTAGTCCCAGCTGTGAATAGGGATATCCTCAGCTTGGCTAGACAGGCAGGCTTTGATGAGCTAGAATCAGAGGATATTGAGGACGTCCTGGCATCCCATACAGTAGAGCTCACCAACGAAGATCTGCAACAACTAACAGAACACAGTCTCGTTGAAGATGACGACGACGATGAAGAAGAACCTCAATGAACCCTAACTTCCAAGAGGGTGGCAGAATCATTCAACATGTTCCAGCAAGCAATGCAAATCCTTCTAGATGACGACCCAAACAGAGAACGTAGCTCAAAGGTTCAACGCAGAATTGATGACAGTCTTGGTTGTTACACTGAGATCTACAAGAAGAAGAAGAGTAGCACCAAACAGTCAACACTGCATTCATTTATTTGTCGCAGGACGGCAGAAGCAGCTTCTTCACAACAGCCGGCAGCCGAGGAGGAGCAAACAACAACGGAGGAGGAGCAAACAACAACGGAGGAGAAGCAAACAGCGGCGGAGGAACCCCAGTCAGCGCAGGAGGAGGAGGCAGCAGCAGAGTCTCAGTGACTCACCACCCTCCTCCTCTTCCACCATCCACCTCCTCCGCTTCACTACCCACCACACACTCGCTCCACCACCTCCTCCGCTTCACTACCCACCACACACTCGCTCCACCACCTCCTCCCATCGGTGAGTACCAATACAAACTTTATACTGTACTGTACTATACTATTTTCTATGGAAATGGCAATGATTTTCTGTATATGTAATGTTTTTCATGGGTCAAAGGGAGGCTCAGGAACGTAACTCCTGTATTTTATCTATTTCTTACGGGGAAAATTGATCCACTAACGTCGTTTCGATTCACGTCGCGTTTTTAGGAACATAACCCCAACATTAAGTGAGGACTTACTGTATATTCAATATTGGAAAAAAAGCAGGAAAACTTTGATAAGCATTTAGTAGTTAACCCTTAGGCCCCCGGTGATATTCCAGAATGTCCGCCTATTTTCTTGCCATTTTTTATTTTTATTTATTTATTTATTTATTTTTCATTATTTTTTTAAATGTGATTTTTTTCTCGATTTAACCCCGCATGGGGGGTACTGCCAGCAGCACCCTAACCAGGGGCTTATGGGTTAATAAGGATAAAATAAGAATGTTTAATATTTTCATCGGAAAGGAAATAAAATAAGAGAAAAGCAACACAGGCTCCCTCAGTCCCCCTTTGAATGCCAATGAAGGGACGGACGCATTGTCGAAAAATTGTCCCTAATGTGAAACACCGAGTGTCTGTAACATGGAGGTTGCCTGCACCCATTATCCTTCTCAGTGAAATGCTCAAGACACATTTAAAGAAGATGAATATTCAATAGCATGCTCAGAGAGAGAGAGAGAGAGAGAGAGAGAGAGAGAGAGAGAGAGAGCACAAAACATTCACATGCAGTGTTATAACCCTGTGAAGAATGTTGGACATGCAGGAGGGTGGAACACACAGCCTGGCTTATGTTTATCAAGCCCAGTGAACCCTTCGCCTATAAGATGTAGTCCATTATATTGAGGTTTCACATCTAACTAACCTCGATTTACTGGACTAACCTTTCATCCCACACTATCCATTAGATTAAAGCTTCTCTGCATTAATGAAACACATGCAAACATCTGCTAATAATGAGTAAATTAACAAGTGGTCAACATTACAAATGGTGTTTACTAGTATGCAAATGTTTTAAGGCTGATAAAACCCTTTTACCAATAGACAGAGTTAAGTGATCTTTACCTGTGATTGGTGAAAATAAATATCTGATGGCTTTCTCACCTACCATTGGTCAAACTACCTTACTTTGTTGATACTTGATTGGACTAGATACAGCACTATGTTTGTATACCTGCATGGTACACCACACACCTGTATCATCTATATACAAGCTGAACTGCATACCTGCACAGACTACAGTATATACAGGCCAAACCAACTGTAAACCTGTATGAAAATTTTACTGATTAAATTTTATAACTACTATTTACTTGTAACTGTTATGTAAGTTGAAAAGCTCCATGACAAATTATCAGAGACCAAGACATAACTAATTCTTGGTAATGATATAACAGTATCGAATATATATCAATATAACAGCTGGTCTTCTATAGGATAACAGTACATATGAAGTAAGAAATACACCGATTGAATAATGAAAAAAAGGATTAAATCCCTTATAAAATGGAGGAGGATCATTCAATCTATTTATATTTGGGGAGAAAGAGAATTGGATCTCTTCTAAGGTAGAGCAAGATGACTGTTAAATCTCTTATAGGGACAGGGAGGAAGATCTCAGGGTGAAGTCCAGGTACCAGACCATTTATATGGCTTCCAGGAAACCAGATTTATCATAAAACTTTTTTATTTTTTAAGTTGGTTAGTTTGGCCTCAGTTTTAAACAGCTGACATCTGTGTGTACTGTGCTTGCCTCTCTCTATTTTTGGTGGTTATTTACTCCCAATTTATTATGATTATTATCTACTCACACGTCTAAAAGGCTAGCAGGAAGTTCACTTGCTAATGGACAGTCCAAAACAATGCATCATCTTTGTCTTTGTGTGTCATGATGGATGATTCTCTTCACTCTCTCATAACACACATCACCAGTCAGCTGTGAGATGGCTACACACATTGCCAGTGTTACATGTAAAGAAACTATAAAAGTTGTAGAAAAATCCTTTCAATACTCTAATGTGACATGAAAATCAAGAAAATATAATATAAAACTATAAAACAAGAAAAATTAAAAGTATGGGTGTTTATTCTATGTGGGAGATGAACGTATGTATGGAGGCAGTGAGCGGTTTGTCAACAGTGCATGTGGCGACTTTGTTAGTTTGGCCTATTTCACTTTAAACACATGCACCACTGCTGTAAGTTTACTTTATCCTCTTCACCACTGATAGTCAAGTTAAATTTGGTTAAATTTAAACTAAGCCTGTAGTTCTTGCTACTTAATGCTACTGTACTAAAAGCCACACTTCCTGGGTCTAGGTAATAAAATTCTTGGCTGCCTGTCTGATGGCAATAGGGTTTAAGAAAGCCATATTGCTAAAGGTGCTGCCACTATTGAACTTCACCTTTTCATTACCATATGTAAGTGATCAGTTGTCGTTGCCCTTGTCAAAATACATTACATCCTGCAAGAATTTTATCAGGAAGAAAATTAAAATATATTAGAACAAACTTTCTACACACAGAGAGAAAAAGAATCCTATATCTAGTTAATGCTTCATGCAAACTGTGGATAAAATCTTAAACTCAAGGCACTGTTTGTAGCTCAACCCTATGACAATATAACAACACTTTACCAAGACAATTCACACAAGTATGATTTTATTACTTATATAAACACTAAGATATCTTGTATATGTCTCTTAGGGGTTGACTATAAAGGTAATCACTCCGTCTCTCACATTACATGTCTCACACTCCCTCTAGTCCTCTCATCTTAGCCAAAAAGAACCCAGTAGTGTATTAACAGGCCCCAAAATACCTAACCTACCCTAACCCTACCTAACCTATCCTATCATACCCTAACCTACCTTAACCCAACCTACCCAACCCTACCTAACCCAACCACAAGAAAAAAATAAAAATAAAAAATGCTCTTTTGACATTTATACAAGTACTCACAATTAGGAAGACAGCACCCAGTAGTGCAGCCTTAATCTTCACATCCAGGTCCATGGGGAAAGTGATACCAAAGTTGTCAGCATCCGTGAAGGCTTCCTTTGCCAGGCCGCTCCACTGCTTACTGATCTTACCCACCTGCACGTCACCATCAGCAGACAACACCTATGGTATGAACCATCTCATTACTCTACAGTACACTATCAGAGTGGAGTCATATGGAGATTTGCCCCACTCCTACTCCAGCTTATTTCACCTGATGATAAAACACATAATCTACCACACCGATACACTTACATTACATACGTACAGGCACACATATATAAATAAATAATGGTTGCCCCTCGTGTACGAGGATGGCCAGCCCAAGGGCCACCTACGCATTAATTTGTTTAATGCGTAGAAGTTGTCGCCAAAACAACAACCACACCCTAAGTTAACAAGTTACGTGACCCAGTGTCAAGGAACAGTCTGAGAAGACCGGACGACTCACCAACTGCATCACTACCTTGGAACACGATCTGTAAATTGATTAAGATCCAGGTTCCCAATGACTGCTGGCAAATGGCATAAAGAAACTTGCCCATAGTTTCACCCTGCCCGGGGATTGAACCCAGGTCCACTCGCTTGTGAGGCAAGCATGCTCTCCATTACACCACATACATACAAATATATACACACATACATATACACAAACATATATACATACATACCTGAAACTCAACATCACCACAGATACTCCAGGTACAGATGGGACCTTCAATTCTGAGGATGACGTCGTCACTTGAGTTACGAACAGTAAACTTGGGTGCGCAGAGGCTCCACTCTTGATGCACAGAGCCGACAACAGTTCCAGGTGGTGAGGTCACTTCAATGCTCTGTCAAATTACAAGTTGATCAATATTGTACTAAACTGGAACGTTAACTAGTAATATCTAATCAAATTAATCTTATTCTAACAATTCACCAAAATACACTCAAATTACATGTTGATCTATATACTGTACTAAAGTGGGACGTTAACTAGTTATAAGCAACGATCAACTGAATCATAATAAGGGTCTTTTAGATGAGGTTTGGTCTGTTTACATTATCCCATTGCTGGTTGACGTGCCATTGCTTCATCGTCGAAGTGAAACATGCGCTAGTTACCATTTGTCCACATACAGAACAGTCCCCTAAGAGAGCTCTCACCTGTCTCTCCATAATCAAGATAGCTCACCTGTAAACAGCAAGGGAAGCAACACGAGGTACAAGCCAAGGGACGGTTGAGATGAATCACTTCATTCTGAGAGTTGTCCATGATCTTCATGTCAAAGGGTCGCATGGGCCCACAACACTGCCTGGTGCAACAGTCTGTGTCCTCGGCAGCAAAGTAAAGCTTCTGACCCAGCGAGTTCTGTATCTTGTATTTATTTGATGTTTCGAACCCTGTGAATGCTGTGGGGGTGAAATAGGAATCTACGTAGACACGGGAAAATTGAAGATCCATTACGTGTGAAACCTCCTGCAGTAAACCCCCCAAATACAGGACTAATTAATGAAGGCCCTGTCCGTTCAATGTGGCTTTTTAATTAATGGGATAATAGTATCAAATGCATTCTGAAGAATTCTGGGGGAGAGCTATATCAAGCTAACTTAACCTATATCAAGCAGGCATTTATTCTCTTATGTCCATCATGTGCACAGGACAAATTTGACAAAGACAAGCTTTGATCAGTCATTCATCCTCATGAATTTTACACATGTCCAGTAGACAATCTTGTATCATAAAGCTAACTAACTTGTTCTACACAAAACTTTATTAAAAAAGCAAGGGAAAAAAAACATATTTACCCTCTGGGCTTTGAGCTATAGTCGGCACCCCACCCACCATGTGGGTATATTCAAGAATAAAAAAAAAAGAAAAAAAGAGAAGCAATTCTAGTCTTACAAACTGGCCACGCATGACAAAAACAGAAACAAATATATGTCTTTACCATAGGTCGGCAACATAGACTAGGAAGAGTCGAGAATGTTTGTGAAGTGGAGCGTGTTGACACAGTAAAACGAGGTAAACAACACTAAGTAACTTGTAGGGAGTACAGGACACTTGTTTTACTATGTTATTACTTATTACATTGTAAACTATTGTTATTTCTGCTCCAGTATTAATCACAATATTGTACTGTACAATACTAGCCTTGTCCTTGGGAGTAGAAACACATGGTGAAGTGAGTCAAGACCAAGGCTGAGATGCCTACGTCACAAAAACTGAGAAGTTGACATTGTGAGACTCATGTGTGAGTGAGTGTAAGACAAATTCCGACCTGGCAACAAAATCTAGCCAGGAACGCCCCTTTTTATACAAACAGGCCCATGAAAGATAAAAACATTGTATGACGTGACCCGAAGCTCTACAGACACACGTCATATGACGTGACCCGAAGCCTAGGTGTTAAAAGTTTCATTAACCCTCTTCAATAATGTACTAAACAATGACAAACACTCACCCTCCAATAGTTCCACTTTCTGTTTAACAAGTAGCTGGTCAACCTGTGTGAGGTACTCAAGGCCAGGAGGGCAGTTGGTTACTGCAGGGGTGGGCATCCATCCTCCTGTGGGATATGGTCCAGGTGAGATACATATACATGGTTTACTGTGTAACACACTGTACATAAAATCACATCAAATTATCCTTAAATTACTTTCCATTAAGGAATCATATAATAGCTTTAAAGATGGCTAGATACTGTTTATGGATTCATCATCATCATCACAGTGGGTTAGCTTCAATTACCTGATGGTAACTCTCCCTGCTGTGTGGTCTCTTGCAGCCTCTCCCATCATGTTCTTATCTCTTGGGTCATTTCTCACAACCTCTCCCCATGTCATTCTTGGCCTACCCTTGGCTCTCCTCTCCTCTATATTCAGACTCAGACACTTCTTAACCAAGTTGGTCTCCTCTATTCACTCCACAAAACCAAACCATTTTAACCTGCCTCTATGAAAAATTTCGCCAATACTCTCAATACCCAGCCACCTCCCACAGCTCTGAAATGCGTTTCCTATATTTTAGTATCACATTACAAATCCATCTCATCATTGTCATTTCAGTTTGCTCAAGACTGCACATGACATCCTCTTTAACTGACAAACAACATCGCACTTCTCACACCAGCCGAATACATTCTTCCTTTCACTAGGAGGGAAGGTCCTCTTGCCGTCAATAAAGAGAGCAGTTCCCTAAACTTCTTCCAACCACTTATGACTCTTAAAACTATACAGGCTTCAACATAGATCATGTCACCCATTTACACCACTGGACCTCATGTGTACCAACCTTCACTGTACATGACTGAATTATTGCCAGGACAGCACTTTCCACCACAGGTCCCTCACCCACACCACCTACCATTACAGAACTTTTGTTTTTGCCACATTTACTCTCATACTGTTTGATTTCACTCTATCATTCTATTACTTAACCTTCCTCACTGCCTCTTCAATAGTATCTGCTATCATTACCAACATACAACAACTCCCTGGGCAGACCACCTGAGCTGTACAGCCCCACGACAGAGCCCCTAACATCAAGACACATCCCTACTTTCACCTCAAGTAATTTCAAATAAATAAAAATGGTTGAAACAAGAGTAAAATAATGAATATTGTTAAGTATTCATATAAAAATGGTAATGTACTGTACTTTAGGAAGCTTCTGGTGTATCTAGGAAAAACATTGCATTGTGGAGCTGAATAAAGTGCCCTGCCACTGACCTAATGTACAGTACCTGCCTGCCTGCCTGCCTCCTGGAGTAATCATTATGCTGGCACAGGTCAGTTACTAGATCAGTGGTTCTCAAGTTGTGGTGCATGACAGGGTTACAGGGTGTGCATGACAGACTGCCAGATTCTATGATAAAAACTGTGAAAAATGTGGTAGGGTAGACAAGCAGAGTACAGGTGGTGACAGCAGCAGCTGCCACAGTAGATGGTACAGGACAAAGGCAGGCCATTCTGTATCATCATATCACCATTTGGCCTGCCTGCATCACAAGCTCAAGATGCCAGTATCTGCTGGTGAGTACAGTATACAGTACAGTAGTATAATGTGTTTATTTAGAATGTACTGTAGGTGTACAGTTGTGTTTGCATAAATAAACACAGCTCTGTGTCAATCCAACTGCAGACTGACCAGGAAAAACCCCGGGGGGTGTGCAAATTTTTTCCACGGATGAGAAAATTTGTCTCAATACCGTACCCAGAAACCTCTCAAACGAGGATCCATTCAGCACCAATTAATTTGGTTACTGTGTCAGTAATGCTCAAAACATGAACACAGGACTACAGTAGTTGGTCCCCCTCTACCTATGCAGCTCCCTTATAATGTGACATCAGGGAGGTTATGTATCAAGGGTGACAACGGGAGGTGTAGACTGAGGTGGGTGAAGCAAAGTTCTTTAAGAAGTGTGAATGTGAGAGAGATACAAGGGCAGGAAAGAGGGCACAGACAGGTAATGGAGCAGTGTGTTGGGTGACCTACTGTACTGTACATCATGGTGGGAAGGATGGGATAAGGACAGCCAGGAACATTTTCTACTGCAGCCATCTCCGCAGAGATGAGTGAGCTGCCACATACGTATAACACTAATTCCACTAGGGATAAAAAAGCCTTCAGGAAAATAAACTCACACTTATAGCAGAGGTATTGGACAGTACTGTATCTGTGAACAACATGCAATCAGCCAAATAAATCTAGTAAGCTTTATTTTTAACCATCATTATTTTATTAGCACCTTCCCTCTACTGTACTACAGTGCTACAGTCAGGTACTGTGGCTGTGCATACCTTGTCCACCTGGCTGAGGCTGTTGACTGTATGGGTCTGGTTGGGGCCCACCAGCTGGTAATGGTGGGTAAATACCTCCTCCATGACCTAGGGACCAACAGTAACTGAACATGTAGACAGAGACCTGACACAAGAGGGCTGTTGCCTTTGTCCACAATATAAATCAGCACTGTACTGTACATTACAATAAGTAACTCCCTGTGTGGTAATGAGCTCCACTGTACGGTTATATCTGACAACGCTCACTCACTACATACATGGTAGTAAGTTGCAGTTTATAAATCATGAAAACAGTTTGATGTAATTCTTTTTAACGTGATTCCATTCCTTTAACGAACTTGATTTTCTGTATACTTAACCACAGACTGTTGTATACGTACTGTACTGTGATCCATCATTCTTATACAGTAAGTATCATCTAATGTTTCTTATATTAAACCACAAATTATAATGTTTATATCCATACATCTGAAGATTTTGAGGCTATCCTCAATTAAACTGCCTTACTGTTTACTATTAAACTGCCTTACTGTTTACAATTAAACTGCCTTACTGTTTACAATTTTCTCTATTTGCTGAGAAAAAACAGTAACTTAGCTAAAGAAAAATTATACTGAAATTCAATCTCAAGTGAAGAAAATGATTGTTTGTTTTACTGTAGAAATTGAAGTGAAAAAAATATTGTATGAACAAGTGGCTGTTAGGTGTGGGAATGGCAGCCATCATCAGTGGAGGTCTCATGTTCCTTCTTAGTTATGACTTAGACTGTAACTTTATATATTTTCACTGACAAGGTTTCTCTTTACAGTTCTAAGGCTTCATCTCCTGAGACAAGAAAACCACTCATGTCATCTCAATGAAAGAAGTACAGTATAATATTATTAACAGTTATTAAAATCACAACCTACAATCCTAAAGTGAAGTGGATTTCTACACAGTACGTATTATGAATCATTTGACAGAGAGGACAAAGGCGTGTTATGTGTCCGGAGAATGATGGGAAAATAAAAGGATAGGATTAAAAACTTCCATTTATGGCTCATGAGGATTTGATATGAGAGCTATTGACCTGGAGTTGATGGAGTCAATTCTGTTAAGGTTAAGTTATCAGTGGCCACAGAGTTGAACACATGGTTTAAATAGGATTGGCATAATCCACATTACCTAGGAGACCAGTGCCACTTGTAACTAACATATTACCTGATCTTCTAAAGGCTGTTGTTGTATGGATCTTACAAGTTCCTTATAATGACTCACAAATCTGTACAGTATTAAAAAATGCACGGAGGAGAGTGAAAGATTGGGAGTGTGTATCGGAGGAAGTTACCACAGTCTAGAAGCATAAATTACTCTCAAAAACATATCGCGACCAACACCAGGAACGACTAGAGATATTGAGTATGATGACACCGCTGCCCGACACATTCACCGCCTCCAGGATGCTTAAGGGGTGAAGATAAACCCTGAAGATACTGAACTAGAAATCGACTATAATAATAATCAACTCTATTCAGTGAAAAATGTAGCTTGATGACTTACCCTGATTAGGTTGTTGAGGTGGTGGATACTGGCCTGGTGGTGGATACTGGCCTGGTGGTGGGTACTGGCCTGGCGGTGGGTACTGGCCTGGCGGTGGGTATTGGCCTGGTGGTGGATACTGGCCTGGTGGTGGGTACTGGCCTGGCGGTGGGTACTGCCCTGGCGGTGGGTACTGCCCTGGCGGTGGGTACTGTCCAGGAGGAGGATAAGGGCCAGGCTGGGGGTAAGGAGCACCTGGTTGTGGGTAAGGAGCACCACCTGGCTGGGAATAAGGAGCATTCTGCGGGGCAAACGCAATATCACTTGGTTGGCTCATGTTTGGGGTTGCTTATGGTGTGACTAGTGTTCTGAAAGAGAGAGTTTTATTCAGCAATAATTATAAGATGGAAAAAAATAATATGAAATTACGCAATACAATACTTTACTTACAGATTAGCTACAGTTTGTACATACCATATGAATGAAAAGAGCATTGGACTTCTGGCCTGTCCTAACACTATATTTATGCTGTTTAAGTCAACTTAGTTATAAGATCTTTACCCGTCTGGCCAAAGTAGAACATATTACCTTCCTTGCAAGGAACCTTGTAAATGCAGCCGCCTGCATTGTTGGGGGGAGTTCTTGATTAACATTTTTTTACAGCGCATGAGTTTTTAAATGTCACATTAACGTTCCAGGTTTTCAGTTGTATAGGATTTTGAGAGAATTTTTTTTTTAAATGGTAATACTAAGAGATTCTTATGGTCATGGGTAGGCTTAGGATCAGTTCTTTAAAAAGATTTCTTAGTAATGTTAAGGCATTTGTCTATAAAAGATCTAGGGTACTTAAGGTTCAAGCCAATATTATAGATATATTTATATTCCTCATCAATGAATTCCGGACTGCATATTCTTAGAGCACGAAAAAACATTTATGAAAATACCGACTGTTTGACTCTATTATGGTGGGCAGAATAATAATGAATGTATAAACACACATTAGTAGGTTTCCTATAAATACTGAACTTAAAGGTGTTACCTATTCTGTGGATCAGACAGTCTAGGAATGGAAATTTGCAGTCATTCTCTAATTCCACAGTGAATTTGATCGAGGGGCTAAGTTGTTAAGTTGTGGTAGAAAAGCTTTTAGGTCCTCATTAAATGGCCAAAGACATATTACATCATCTGCATATCTAAACCAGACTGCTGAAGGTGGTAAAATATTACTTAATAGTTTCTTCTCAAAGAATTCCATATATAAGTTACTTAATACTGGTGAAAGCGGATTACCCATTGCCATACCAAATTTTTGAGCATAATATTCTCCATTGAATTCAAATTTACAATCCTTAATACATAATATGATGCGTTCGATGAAATCATCTTTCGAGACGGGCAATGAAATATTATCCATGGAATCTGTCAGGTATTACTCCTTAATCTGTGCTCACCCCTGAAGATGTGAATTACACGAAAGCACTACTACTGTATAGGATTAGAATCCAACTACAGTACAGTACTGTATATGAATCTCATCTTGGCAAGCCTGGAATAGACGGCTAGCATAAGAACGTGTTATTTGATTTCGTTAATTTTTCCACAGATGTTCCTTAGGTGATAGATAGTAATAAAAATAATATGACATTGCACAAAACCTTATAGAACCTGACCTAACCAACGACAGAAACTTACCTAACTTCCTAGCCTGGGGGCAGACCCCCTACCATATTAAACAGAAAGTACTTGATATCTGGTACCAATGAACACAACTTTGTTGAAGCATCATGGTGTAATTTTATGTTTTTTTTTTTTGTGGGCGTGAGAGTAAGCTTGGTCCAAGCGTAAAGAAACAAAGAGCAGACAACAACACGTGCCGACACGGCAGATGTTTTGTAGAATATTTTTTTTACAATAAATAATTAATTGCTTCACGTACAATGCACGTAGAGACATCCTTTTAGTGTCACATGATCAGTTTTTCACCGTGTTTTACCTCACAATTTCCCTCATCCTTCATGCCCTGCCCACTACAGGTAATTTATGATCAATAATCTTACAGAGAAAAACTTTAAATATAAAAAGTTGTCGCCTCTTTTAAAATACTTACTATAATGACATGAACATCTGTGTGGAGAAAATGAACAATATCAAACTCCTTCTGGTGGTAATGCTGTTCTCAGACATTACCAAAATAAAATAACACTTATTATTATACTTTATGTCATGCAGCGAATTTTAGGATTTTAAGTTTAGGTTAGGTTGAAATTGTGTTTTTCCTATGGTTTTTGATGTATTTTGAACTTCCAAATATGTGAATGTTCGAAACAATAATTTTACCCAATAATCTAAAGTACCTTACCTAACACCAACCACGCCCACCAACCCTCTCACGCACCCACATCATAATCGACCCACTAATTTTCATGGGCCCAAAAATTTTTTATATCCACATTAATATGAATTTACAATAGAAATTCCGTTGAAGAAAATCGAATCAAAATTTAATTCGACATAGGATAAACCCATTGCCATCCTCGCAAATATATTATATGCTGAAAGTGATATTAACAGCCTCGTCACCTGCTGTCACTTTCTAGAATCTGTCTTTACTACAAGTGTTTTCTACATAACCATTAACAATACAATGAATCACATTATATTAGAGAAAGTCCAGTGTGTTCTTTCCCTTCCCCTGTAATATGCAAGTGGACCATCAAATCGTCTTTAATAATTTAAAACATTAATCAAATACTACTTATCACATCAAATATATACCCAATTATGATAGCATCTCCATTCAATTTACGTTAAATCACAAGAAAATAGATAAATACCAGCGAGTGCTTTACCCTGTTGCTCCAGCTAGATGTAACCATGGAGACAGAGTGGGTGGGTTCCTGTGGATAATATCTCACTGAAATCACTATCACAATTTATTACCGCTACTACTTATCTTATATACTCTAATATATATTTTATTGTTATTCTAGTTGGGAATATTACTAGTGGGTGATTATAATTACATTTTGTATCCGTAAACAATGGAGAATAGTGAGTGACACTGGTCATGTCTCGAATCCCTACAACGAAACTCCGAATCCAAAACTCTGAGACCTGTATTTTGCTAAATTAACGAAGCAGTATTTCATTAAATATTTGATTTTGCTCTTATTTCGTCAGTTTAATTTTATTAGATTAATGTTTATCTATCCATAAGCTACTGTACAAAAAATATACCTGAATATGAGAATTCATACGTAGAATATCTCCGAAACCTAAGCAATATTCTGTAAAGAAAATACAAGTGGGTATAAATTATAATAGGTAATATACGGTATTCCTCACAAAATACGGGATAAAACACGTTGTATTAATGAGAAATAAAGGAGGGTTCATTGTGCTAGAGTCCGGGGTTCAGTGATAGTGAGCCCTGTTGTGATCTGCGTCTGCGCCGCCACACCGTAAACAAATGGTCATGATGCCACACTAGTGCAATGTTTTTCTTCCTATTAACATTTTCCTCAACAAACCATTACTTTAAGTTCCATATATACATAAAAATAACTCAAGTATATAATAATAATTAAACATTATGAGGGTGTAATTAAATTTGTGTGTAAATAAGGTTGTATAAATAGAGGTAATAAAAGCTAACTAGATACCTCTTTGTTTTTGTGCTCGTACAGCCCGGCGCCAGACTGTCCCACGATGGAGTAACGAGACCTTAGCGAGAAAAGTAACGAACAATTTGTGATTCCCTCGTTAACCTTTACTTATGAAAATTGAAAATATAACATGATAACGTATCGCCACATGTGCTGCCGCAAATACAACACTAGATACCCTACAATTGTAATATGGAAGTGAAGAAAAGGAAAGCTCGCTTCTCCGTTCATGAAATCGACGTTCTGGTTGATGAAGTGTACAGAAACAGAGCCACGCTGTTCTCGCGGCTCTGTAGCACCATAACTAACGAGAGGAAAATGATCATCTGGCAGTGTATTACGGAAAAGGTGAATGAGGTGTGCACAGTCCAACCCAGAACGGCAGATGAAGTGAGAAGGAAGTGGTATTACTACCTTAGCGACAGGAAGAAAGATGTGTCGCGGCGAAATAAATTAAAGAAAACGGAATGTCCTTCACTCGATGCCATGTACACCCCAACAGACTTAAAGATCCTTGAGTTATTAGGTGAAGTGGAAGCGACCAAGACCGCCAAGGAGGAAGCGGTCGAGGGGCTGGTGTGTGAGGTAGACGCTGACGCCTTGCCTTTAAGACCTTCCTCAGCCTCCAGTGATTATAACCAGGAGGAGGAGGAAGAAGAGGACATCACTTCCCGCCATCACCATCATCCTCTCGCTTCCGAAGGTAGATAATAAATATACAGTATAGACAGAAATATAAGTACTGTAGATATATATAGACAAATATAACTAGATAGATAAATATAAACAAAGTCGATACATTAATAGACAAGCACATAGATATATAGATCGATAAGTACAGGTATATAGATATATTTATTGGTAATTAATAAGATCTGACACACTAACACGTGACACTTGTCAACTGTGTGTAACAGAACAGGCCGACTGGCTAGTAAGATGTAAAGTAGTGAAGAGGATCAAGTAAATTTGGATGCACTGTTATGAAGACCACTGGATATAGCACAGCCGACACAACACATACACCCGAACTACAGAACCAACACACCAAAACCAATGACTACCACTACTACTGATACTACAAACACTACTTCTTATACTACTAGTCATAAGACAAACACTACTATTTACTGTATACTAATAGTCATACTACAAACACTACTACTGATACTATTATTTTTTCGTTTGAATAGTAATAAGAATTTTATTTTTTATAGTCGGAAATTTTGTTTCAGATGACGTAGTGTTATCCCTCGGACCTTCATCCACCATCAAGAGAGAAAGGTGTGTGTGTGTGTGTGTCTCCTGTCCGAACTCTAACTACAGCAAACTGGAAACTTATGCTGATCTAAACTTTAGATTTTAAAGAAATAAAATTAATAGTTTATTAAGTTTTATGGCATAACACCAAAGTTATCCATCAATATTTTGGCTATACATATAAGTTATTCATATCGCCCTTCAATGCTTTATTTTTCCCTATAGCGCCTTCGTTAACAGCTACGAACAAGAGAATCCTCCAGCTGCCTCCTCCACCACGGCCAGAACCACAACCCAGCAACCAACAGCAGCCAAACGCCCACGAGCAAACACAGACGATAGCGACCAAGATGACAAGGACGATCGGGAGTTCTTACAGCTGGAGAAGAGACGCGTGTATCTTCAGGAGTGTCAGCTGCGCCTCCTAAATGACATTTTCACACAAATGAGATCAGATGCTGAAAGGAACAACGCCTTCCAGCAAGCCTTTTTAGATATTGAGAGACAAAGATTAGACATAGAGAGGGCTGGTAGTCTGAAATGAATGGAGAGTATTTTTTGTATCAGCTGAGGTTTAGACACCCCAGTTTATTTCACTTGACAATTAGACACCCTAGCATTAGTGATTAATCTTTGGGTGAAATAAGCTGGGATGTCTAATCTTCACTTGTAAAAAGTTAGGGTATCTAATCATCAGGTAAAATAAACTTGGGTGCCTAATCTTCAAGTGATTAGGAGTTCCCAATCCTAACAGACCCCAAACCAAACATTTGGTTTGGTAGTCAAGTTCTAATAGGCCCCAAACCAAGGGAATAGATGAACATGGGGCCTATTTGCCTTGGGGGAGGCCTATGAAGACTGCCCTGTCTTACTCGTGTTTCTTAACACGAGTAAACACTGCCTTCAACATTCACACACGAACGTAATTTAACCCCAAAATAAATACACGTTCGCATCTTATATACTCACTGGTAAAGTATCACAGGAAAAAATGAGGTGAATATTTTTCGGGTGATCCATATTATTAGTTTCCTGTTATTTTATTTTAACCATTGTAACAATACACTTCCTTTGAACTAATACTGTTATCAAATCATTATGTAGCTATTATTAAAATCATTCTTACTGTAACAATAATCAATATAGGCATTATTATTATAACTGAGTATTATTATCATTCGTCCATTGTACCGAGATGAGTGACGTCACGGGATAACCTTCTGGCGTAAAAATAAAATACTGTTTTTTAATCCTTGTGAAACACCCAGAAAATGCCAAGGGGATGGGGCGACGTTGTACTAAACATACTCCTGTAAGTAAGCCTCTTTCTATCTCTAGGTTTGATAATTTGCCATCGATGATTCTATGGTTTATTTTATTGATAAACAAATGAATACGTAACATTACTTTAGCTGCTAAAACACCTCAAATGAACCCATAAAAAACACCTTATGTAAAGACAAGTAATAATTACTCATCGATATATTATCTCAGGTGAACTGAGAGCTACAATTATTAGTATATAATGTGCAGCTCTACGTTCATCACATACCTTTTATTGTCTACCACAGGGATGACGTTTATCATATCTTGTTTTTTTTAATATTAGGGAGTAAATATCTGATAATACAAAGTTATTTTTAGGACGGTAACCTTCGCTAGTTATTTTTCCTACGATAACAGGATAATGACCATGACGCTCACCATTGCATACCTACACTGTCTATACAATGTAATACAAGTTACTCAATATGTATACATGTAATTTTGCGATTTATTATTAAATACAAATGAGATCACGTGCTTAGACACCCCTACTTATTTCACCCTAACGCAAACCTAACCTACATAGACTAACTTAGCCCCCAAGCAGCGTAAGCATGTTTTATTATCACGTTAAATAAGCTGGGATGTTAATCTTCAGTATGGCCTCATTCTTATAGGGCCTATGTTGCAATACTTAGTAGGAAAATGTTCAACTCACCGTATGACTGTTGTACTGTACAGTACAGTATGTTAGTGGATGTTACACACTTTTTGTTCACATGAATTTTCGTACAATTCAAAATCTATTCTAATTCTTGTAACACAAAAGTGGAGAATATTACAAGCGTGGACGCAGCACCACTACAATACAACGTCTTGGCAGTGACTGTCAACCAGGGCTGGGCCTGGGAGCGCGGCAAGTGTACTGTACTCGCGCCGTGGTCGTGTCCCGCCCCCCAAGGTTCTCTGTATATTAGTGCGCGAGTTACCAGTTACCCCGAACACTCACGTAATATATAATATTATAAATTTATAATTAATGTATATTGGTACACTATACAGATGCATTTCAACCATGAGGATAAGAAAAAAATACAGATTTTTGGTATTATTAAGAGAGATATAGTATATGAGAGTATGTAGTCAGCTAGTGCCAAGTAAACGGTAGGAGTTAAACTGAGTTATACCTACGTCATAGTTTTTTACTTTTTTTACTTTTATCCTCTTCGCCACCGATCGGCTCGCTAGCCGCTTGGGCGATCGGTCACGTCTCTGTTACGCACTGTTGGCAAATACTGGACATGCACCAGCTCCTGAATGTACCTGAACCCGCTCCAGTGTTGTTTACGTCATTATTTATATTTTCTTGACAGGATGTTCACTTCCCTGTCACGACTATGTTCTTCGGCGAGATAATCTACTCACCACTTGTGTATGAGGTTCCTTCTCTGATGACTGTGGAATGATTGAATATAACTTGACCCAGAGAGACGTTGATTCTTATATTGCACTAGTCTGACCCATATGGCCCAGGGCTACGGCGGCTATGGCCAGGCGAGATGTACTGTACCATGTAACGTTTATCGTTCTAAACAGCTATACCAGATTTTATACTTGTCCGAGTGCAAAAAATTACATAATAACGACAGACCTGTAGTGGATTCCTCCCCTACAAACGCTGTTTGTCGCTGGCTAGCCGACCCCGCGAATTCCCCAGTGTATGCCTCGTGGTCTAGGTCAACTAGCGCCGCCTTACACGACTGAGGTCAACTATTAAGCCACGCCTACCTCCGCTATATAAGACCTGACCTCGTCGTGACCTATCTCTTTCTACCTACAGCCAGTCTTCAAGTAATACCACCTCCTCCGCTCCTGCCTGGCGGCCCTTGCTCCCGCCGGCGAGCATGGCGACCCACAAGCTGGTCCTCCTCTGAGCACCCTCACCAACCAGCTCTCTCTACATCACGCTTTTAACCATGCTGCCTTCCCAGCACCAAGCTGCACTGTGCATCCAATACAACATGTATACAGAGAGCACATTGTGAGTTTCCTTTCTCCATCCCATCCTGAGTGTGAACCAACATCTCGTACCCCACAGACCAACTCCCTGAATGGCTATTAAGTTGATGGGTAATAAAATAATATAAAAAGGTGCCTCTATAGCTTGCAGTCTACAAGTGTCTTTAGTCTAACATAACCTAAATATCTGGTTGACCGCACACTAAAGTAGCACAACAAAATTGTAGTTGATATTTCATGGGGGCACTGTATATATGGCCAACTCCTGGGCTGATACTGCATTAAGAGATAAACTGAGCACATTATGTAGTATCAAAACATGTCTACAAGATACGGTTTTACAGTATGTGTACTGTAGTACAGTACAGTATTATGACTTATATGTACCACCTAGTAACAATACTGGAGCAAATTTAACCTTCAAAGTTCTAATTTTTATACAATTGGTGATGACCTTTTAATCGCTAATGTCATCTTTTCATACTAAAACCTCTTCCAGGCAACTTCAAAGAAAAGGCTGCTAGAGTGTTTGTAATTCATGAATGGAACTTGTGATCTTGAGAGGAGGTGCCACCAGTATCCCGCTTTTGGGGGGTTAATATTTGATGTATACAGTACAAGTCCTCAAAATGCCTTTTACCCTCAACCAGTCAGTTTCCCTTAGTTTTTATTCATGTTGGTACAATATTTACACTTTAATTTATAACACAACTCTGCATATACAGCACCAGTGGGAGCTTTCTAAAAAAATTATGGTCAGCTCATTGTGAGAATAGACCAACAGAAATGGACGAAATCAGCTGTGATGTCACAAAGGCTGTAGCATGCATCTGGACTTTCTTAGATCAGGTCACTGAGGGAGCAAAAAACTTAGGGATCAACTCGTCTGTGACATCACGATATAGCATCAGGTCAATCACACACACACACAGCTTCCACCCCCCCCCCCTGCTTTCCATCACCTCGTTGGTTGTCTGACCTCACTTATTAAACATGTATGGGTAGGTGGGGGTCACACAGTACCTGATAAATCCCTGTATTTTCTTCTCAAAATGTTAACTTCTCTGCCGGGCAAGTACCAGGCATACATGTATGAAAAATCACTTTTCCAGACCCTAGTCATGGCTGGGACACTGCTAGTCTGCACAGCTTGCTTTATTCCTATCATCGGATATTTTTTTAAGATTACTGTATATCTATTTAACTAAATATAACTGTACCTGTATATATATGCTGTTAAAATGAGATAATGTGTGTGTATGTGTGCATCCTTTGGCAGACTCCGTACCCGTGTCTTCAGCTGTAGGGAGCTGAAATTATCTACAAAGTTGCACATATATCGAGCAGTGGTCCTCCTCACCCTGCTATATGGCAGCGAGACATGTGTCTCACACACAGGAGGCACATCAAGGCACTTAAAAACTTTCACCAACGTAGTCTATGTTCCATCCTCCGAGTTTGCTGGGAAGACAAGAGTACAAATGCCAGTATTCTCGCTGACACCAACCGTACTGTAGTAGCATTGAGACTACCATTATCCATGAACAACTAAGTTGGACTGGCCATGTTACCTGCCTGGACGACAGTAGACTGCTAAAGCAGCTACTTTAAAGTCACCTAACGAATAGTAAACATAACAATGGCAGGAAACTGAAAAGGTATAAGGATAGTCTTAAGACAAACCTGAAAAAGTGCCAAATTGACCCCCTCACTTGGGAGACGATTACTCCACACCGTAACGCTTGGAGGAGCAATGAATGCATACTGAGGCAAACAAACGCCAACACAGGAAAGACGCAGCCGCCACCCCTCCTGCACTAGAAGTAGCACTCCACACGTGCAACATCTGTGAACGACTCTGCCGGTCCCGTATCGGCCTCTTTAGTCTCCTCAGAGCTCACCAACCGAGGTGACATCCCTAATAACTCATATCAATGTATCATAGCTGGATGATCGTCATACTTGATTCCGAGTGACAGCGAAGTAGTAGTAGTTGTAGTAGTAGTAGTAGCAGTGTGTGTGTGTGTGTAACATCATTCTCAATTTTACTATACAAGACCCCATGAGGTTGTCAAAAAGGTGACAATTGTGATCCTCTACATATACAGTGTCAAGATGTTCTTGGAGAAAACTGCAGTCATTTCACCCACACCTCAGTCACACCCATGGTTGGTACGATGTGTCTTTCACCAACTAATTTCTAGTTATTCTTATGACTAAGACCTCTTTGTTGATATGCACAGATTTATCACTAAACAAAAGAAGAAACAAATTGCATCATAAAAAAAAATGTAACAATGGACAAAATAACAGATGAAGAGTGAGAAACAACATATGCATGTTATGTTGTCAATAGTAAAAGAAATAATTGAGACCCTGCAATTGTGTGTAAATGAGGCAGAAAGTCAGATCAGCAACCTGGGACTTGGTCACAATTTTGTGATGCCATATAGCAGCAGGGTCTACCATTAGACAACACGTTATGCTTCCAATATCTTCCCAGGCGGTAGTACCTCCCTGTTTGGTAGCTGCCTACTACCTCCTACCTACATTTTCTTCCAATTCTTAGCACATGAATGTCAGTCACTACACATTTACATAGTAAATCAGGGGTTGGTCTTACTACAGTATACTCTTTGAGTTAATGGAATCCGATATAACGAAATCTCGATTTAGCGAAGGCATTTTTTCCCATTATTTTTTGCTCAATTTAGTAAACTAGTTCGCTAAATCGAGATTAATTTCGTTAATACGCTCACACCTACGGAGACTCCTCAGACACATGATGTGTACATAGAAACATTATTCATGACTTACCTTTAACTATGGGGGTTCGGCGTTTTCATTTTTTTTCTATAATTTCCAAACTACAGGTATTCTCCAATTGATAGCTGCACTCTTTTGACTTTCTCCCCCACACCACTTCCTTTCTGAGACTTCTGAGAGACTTTCAGCATGATGGCTAAGCACAGTAGTTAGTTGACCGAGAGGTAGCAGTGAACAACACACACGGTGGCGGCAAGACACAGACTGAGTGGATGTAAACAAACCCCACGTGCTAAACGGCACGTTTGGCACAGAATTTAACGGAATCACGCTAGATTTAGTGAACTAGTTCGCTAAATCGAGCAAGAATAACAGAAAACTTGATTTAAAGGAAAGGGGTGACTCGAATTAGTTCGCTAAATCGAGAAAATACTGTACAATTGGGCCTGTACATATTGATGCCCAGCACTTGGCAACAGTACAAATAGACTGGCTAGTAAGTGATGAAATTATAAAACAAATAAAATGAAGTACAGTAAAGATGATATCAATTATTTTAATCACATATACAATAGTTACAGTTGAGTAAATGGAATTTCATTAAAAACTGTTTTGAGTAAATATACAAAATTATCATAAAATTTACACAAACTGAATGTTTTATTCTTATTGTATAATCAAACATAAATAATGTGGAACACAATTGCCATACAATAGAAAATTAGATAAGTGAATTTTTCAGTCAGCACGAAGATGATACAATATTTTATAAAGGAACAAATTCATAATATATATAAAACAAAATGTAGTTTCCTCATTGATATAAATGAGGGGGGGGGGGGACGCCTGAGGTGACAGTGGTCGTGGTGTCTTCTATATACTGTACACATTATTGAAGAGCACAGTGACCCAAGTCACACTGAGGCCTCCTCCCTGTATGAGTAACAACACGGGTCAACAGTCTTGTAAACTTTACCAAGTTTTCATCTACAATGGGTATATAAAGCAATGGTTTAAGATAAGTCAGAGAGATTTCCCTCTATGGTGATATTCACTTCAGGGTGAGAAAAGTTACCAATGGGCGAACAGTTTGAGAGAGAAGACAGACAGAAAGCTGAACCTGATGTACAGATCTTGATACTGATACCACCTTTAAGTTACAATTATTGTGACTACCTGTAATGTTGTTCTGGAGTGAGTTCTTTTATGTCATCCATTATTTGATATAAAATGATTGCCAATGTGTGGGGAAGATGTTAGCACAGCAGTAAGCGGTCATCTTACACAAACATGAACATCAGATAATATCAATCATTCACTTAACTCTATATGTATGACAGTCTAAGTCCCAGGCAGGTGGGGACCAGCTGTCTGGGAGTCAGAGTGTCAAGCATCGTTCACACAGCTGTCATTTTATTATGTACAGTGAAGGCTGGCCAATATGGCTGCCTGTAGGACACAACATTAAAAGCTTAAGAGCTGCTCTGAACACATCCAGGAGGGCAGATTGTGGTCTCAGCTTCAAGGTTTAATGATAAATAAGCTGGAAATGATATAAAATGAAAAGAAAATGTAAGGAATTCCATTTGCCCATAAAGTGAAAATTTCAATATGGAAGTACAGTACTGTAGCATAAAGGGAACCATCTTTATATTGTAGTGTTATTCATATACAATTTACTTGAAGGAACTGAAGCAAGTTGATGATTCAGTTCACTGAGAAATTATTTCCTATATCCACTTAAAACTGAAAATTATATATACTGTAATTATAAAAAGTCTTGATGGCTTCTAGAAGTTTCCCTAAAGTAATCTTAACTACTAAATATAAGTCAATCCAGTTGAGGGAAGTCACAACATAATAATCCTACCTATTATCTGTACAACGTGAGCCTGTCTTAGTGTTGTCTATAAGGCTCATTTTCCTATTTACAGCACAGAGAAAAATAAGGCTTAATGATTGAGTACTAGAGGCTCATAATATCTGATCGGGTCACTGGTGAAAGTAAGTTATTGGTTTGAGGTCACAGATTTAGTGTGCCTCATGGACGTTCTTCTTCAACCCCCACAAACAACACACTGTTCAAGTCAGTTTAATTTTCAGCTGGAAAATCACACAGACGAGAAGATGAGTAAGTGCTGGGCCATTTCAGATGTTAATAAACCTGTCGGAAATGTGAGCGCATCGTAGTCACCGTATCCCAAACATCATCTCTAGGGTAGGAGTTGCAGTTCCCAGGTTTGTCCCTCAGTCCCACTCCCCGACATACATGGAGCGCGGGTGGGGTAAGGGGGGTGGCAAGTAACCCCTGTTGGGCAGAGGCAGACGACCATAGATGTGGGAGTAAGCAGACTCAGTGAAGTCAGAGTCTGCAAAAATAAGATGAGGCTTTAGGTGATTTCCTACAGTAAAAGATAAATGAAGAAACCTTTTTGGTTAGTGCTTAAAAGTGCAGGGATGCTATTAATATATTTAAAGAAGGATCCATTGGTTATTTAATATTATCTTCTTAGGTAAGTATATACTGTAATGCTAAGTGTACAGTTAGCTAAAGGAAAGAACTTTATACAGAAATGTGCATAAACAATGGAGGAGGAAGAGATGAGCTGTATACCATCATGCTACTCTTATACTGCAGATACATTCAGGAGCCAGTGCATGCCCAGTATTTGCCAACAGTGCGTAAGAGAGACGCGACCGACCGCCCAAGCGGCTAACGAGCCAATCAGTGGCAAAGAGAATAAAAGAAAAGAAAGAAAAAGAATGTAAGGTCATGCAATGCTTGCTAGTACTACAGTACAATCTCTTATAAACATTGCTTGGTTGATTTTACTACAGTATAGAATATTCACTGCTACAGAAACTTGGTGAAGGAGACAGAACAGTTGACTACTGAGAGAGTCATGCACGTAAAATGATTCCCGGGCGTCATAAAACAGATGAAACGCGGTTGAGTTAGGCGTCTCTTTCTTGAAGTGACTGGACAAGTGTAGCTAGTAAATATTACCTCTTGCAACATTGCCCTTTCTCATACAGGTTGCTGTAAAGTTTCCGGTAATACTGTAGATCTGGACTTTTCCTACCATGCATAACATATAATGCGGCATTAGAGCAGGACATAAAGGCTATTCACATCCACAAACTCAGAGCTCACAGCACCATACATCCCCCAGACAATGTCCACCATTATTCCGCCCAAGCATATTATGATACACCACCAAGGTCATTTTCACAATCTCCAGAACCCCATAGACAGTCAAGATGTCTGCCCCGGAGACTGGCTGGAGGGAACACCATGCAGCACTCTGGTGGCTCAACGGCCTAACTGGACCCTCATCCGGCCGGAGTCGACCAACTTGTTGATTTATTACGGCAGATCGAGCGACATCCACGTGGAGGTCGACAGAGTCCCTCAGAACTCACAACCCATCAGTAAAATCCACCTGGCGGGGAGTAAATGGGTCCTGGAGAATGTGAGAGCGACACAAGGATTTACGACGATAAGGAGACTCAAGCCAAAGTCTATCCCGGGTGAGGGACGGGAGGACCTTACCTAAGAGCCTCAGGATGGTTTTCTTATGCTTCCACTGTTTTGATTTACTGTCAGTTCATGAGTCCCAGTAGGATTCCCATTCAGTTTCTAGGAGAGAGCGGAAGGATCCGTTAATGAACTGAATGATGTAGATCATTATAAATACTGTCAAAGGTCAAGTAACGCAGAGGTCCTTGTGAAATTCGTAACGTGTCTTCGGAGGTTTAGGTAGTCAGTCATTTAGGGGTCTTGAATTAAAAATAAGAGTTGCTCCTGGCTGAATATCTCTCGCACTAAGGAGTTCAACTTTATTGACGTACAACAGCAGAGAGAGTATGCTGGCAGCCACTGTGCTCTAGTGCTACATTTCATGGTTGTAGGTCTCGCAATATCCAGTACAGGATTAAAAGGACATCTGACAAGGAAAGGTTGGTGACATTTAGAGAGCATCTTTCTCACTTTTAACACAAAAACTTGACTCCTTTGTATGGTTTACATTCAGAACACGACTGTGAGATTCTGTGTCCCTCACCAGTGTAAAGATGTATACAATCTCAGAGTAAAGTGAAGGTAATGATACTTACAGTCACGACAAATGTTTCTTGTACTGAGAACAGTGTCACCATTACTTAAATCTCCAAACAAAATATGGTTAAAAAAAAAAGTAGTTAAATTTTAGGGTGGTGGAGAAAAGGTTATGTGTATGGTCCACACATTTACTGTACTTGTAGAGGTTTGCTTTTGGTTCACAGCCTTTCATGTGTTGTTTAGATTGTTTAAAGATTTATTATTGAACATTGGTAATATTTTAAAACATTACTTATAATATCTCTATGTGATTTGAGGGAATATTATATCTAGATAACTCTATAAATGTCACAACATAAACCGTTGATACTGGAAAATATTCACCTTAATATTTTCACAAATTAACAAATTGACTTAGAGGAATCCATCATGCCAACTTGTGTGTGGTGTCCTGGCGGAAGTCAAAGTCAGTCACAAACACTGTCACCGGTAGAACCTCTTGTGACTGGTAAAAAGTAAAGGAACCAGTTTTTTCAAAGTGTGAAGACTCTCTCATGATGTTAATCTGATGGTAGTACAGTATAGAACAGCCATTGCATTAAAATATGATTTGATTAATTGTGATGGCAGGTTGTAGCTATATTTAACATAGCCTTTACCAATCTCACATTAGAGGGATTAGCGTGGAGTCCTTGAAGCTCGGGACAGAAAGAATATGAAACCATGAAGTCGTTGTGTCTAGTGTCAGGCCATGCAGAAGTCACGGACACACTACAGAAGAGGATTTGATAGAGCTCGAAGGCCTAGGTGACGTACGTGCTATCACTGCATGACTCCACCATGCTCACTTTGTTCAACATTGGCTCTCCGTGGTCAGATATATCATGCATAAATTAAACTTTCAAATTTCAGTTAATATAGAATAATTACGAGCATATTATTATTACGATTTATAAGTATATAGCATGAAATGAACTCAAGAACTTAAAGAAGACATGAAAATGGCACAATGAAAAGATCTGAAAGAGTTGTAGCTGTAATCCTTGGACCACTCACCATTCCTGACTGGTATTGACGGCACCCACGAGCAGGGGTTCCGCTCTAGTCTGTGTATATTTTGCACATGGTTCTGTTGCAAAAGAGCTAGAAAAGAAAAAGAGAACAAACATGCTTAGAGAAGTGCTAGATGAAGCGCAGTGCTCCCTGGCTTCTACAGTCCCACCTTCAACAGTGTCTGGCGAGGTTAAGAACAACATTCAAGAGATGGACGGTACTCAAGTGATACTGTCATACTTCTCTCGTAACTTCTTATTCCTTCTACTTTCACTATAACTACAACACCGTGCGGCGAATCCTCTATTTAACGGAATATACGGAGAGGAAAGTCCATTATATCGAGGGTCCGTTAAATGTTGAACCCCCATCCAAAGGATTACACGGAGAGAGAAATCCGTTACATGGCGGTTTCACTGTACTGTTTATGGTGAAAGAAGACGGAACAGGAGAAGTGCCAAGTGCTGTCCGACATCATAAAGTGCACAAATCTGCTAACTAAAGTATGTACAGTCAAGTGAAGTTCATCTCTTTAAACATGTCCATATACCTCCTTACCTTAACCATGAGCCAAGAGAGGTAGAGGTGGGGAGGCAACATCTAATTCACGACTCTCAAACACCAACTTGACAACAGCAATAAACATTTAAAGGCTATAGTATACAGGATCTTGTGCTTGGTTGGTGTAAGAACACACTCTCTCCCATATACTGCAAACCCAACTGGTGTTTCAGAATCTATGATCTACAGAGTACATTGAAATAAAAATAAAACAGAACGATAAAGCCTGGAGGTGAAAAACTATGTTGTGAGTGTGAGGAGGAGGGGAGACCAACCTCACACACACACACAAACGTACACACACATACACACGTACATACACACACACACACACACACACACACTTGGTGACTTATGGTTCGTGTCACGGTGCTGTTATGAAGAACACAACACTCATTATTATAGTTTATCATTAACAAAATATATATGATTATGGCACAATGAATTAAAGGAATAAATTCAACTCAATTAAAAGTTTGAGAGAAAAAAAAGAAACAGATTTTCTTCATAACATTACCAAGATTTCTTTATGGATTTCAGCAGAACCTCAAAATAATTAGCAAGACAGAGACCAAGTGAGTAGATACAACTATGATGACATACTTTACAACACAGTTTATTCCAAGCATCCTGAGCCACTGAAATTATTCCATCACTGCTAAGTTTTCTCATGATAAGAGTTATTTTATGATGCTACTGAACTCCATCAAAAAGATAAGCAATTAGCAAAAACAGTAAAATGTAGGCACAGTACAAAAGGTCAGGTCATGCTGTGTGGCGGTAAGGAGCCAGAAGAGTTCAGTAGGTTGGTCATAAGATGGGAATTTTTCTCTCATCCAACTTCCATTACAGCTTGATGAGATAAGATGCCTATAACACCTCTACCCTTCTCTACAGTATAATGGTCTTAAGTCATTTATAGATCTGATAAAATATCTTGGGTCTGCTGTCCTGCCTTTAGAAAGAAAGCTTTAATTCCTTTTATTTTCAAGAACAGATAATAAATTATCTAAGAAAACAGAAATAAAGAGAAATTTTAGATGAATATTCTCTAAGTATTAAATAGTTTTGAGTGAAATAATTCCAGGGTGGAGCTGGTCAGTCTTAGATCACCTAAGGGCTGTCTTACACTCTTCTATATATTGTCGCAGGAGTGTTGAGACGTCCAAAGTTAACTACGGCTGAGGAAGTTTACTGTTGTGGGTCAAGTTTAATAGAGGAGGGATAAGTCAGTCCACTATGAGGGAGGGAGAAGTGAATCAAAAAGGGACATTGAAGGAAAAATAATTAGACTTTGCCAGAAGAAAAGCAAAGGGGTGATGTGCACTGGGGAGGTAAGGGTAAACCTGCATACTGTTGCTATAGAGAATAAAAATTATATTCAGAAAGTACAGGACTTTTCATCATTGCTTGATGCCACAGAGGATCTGACCTACAGCAGTAGTGAGTGAAGTTAGGAACAGTTCATGTGTGGAAGGATGGATGGGATCCACCACAGAAGAACACATTTCGTCAAGGTCAGTGTGAGAGGAAGGACTCATAAGGATCAACATAAGACTGTCGCTGGCAGGAATGCTGTTGTCCAAGGTGGTTGTGTGAGCGTCGCAGGTTGTGGTGCAGGTATTTGGGTGGGGGGTGAATCTTACCCATGCCCGAATCGAAGCTACGGGTGTGCCACATTGGGTGGGCAGGAATGGGGGGTCCATTGGGGTACTGGACCCGGCCAGGCTCTTGCTTATCCTTCGACTTGGTCATAGCGAAGTTGGGGATGCGAGCTCGTAGGCCACAATAGTAGGGATCATCTGTGTAAGGAAGGGCTTAAGTAAATTATATAAAGTAAACAAAATACCTGTAATATGGTTTACAAGACAATTTAATTAAGAACTTTTATGGTATATTTGTTAAAAACTGTCATATATTAATACCAAAGAATTACCACATCAAAATACTGTACCTAACAACTGTTAGTGTCATATTGAAGAAGAACTGAGACCCTTAATAAAGGTATGTTATTAAACAAAACTAAACGGTACCCTTGATATGTCTGTTTACTACACAAGACTTTACAGCCCATGATGTAGTTCTTCATTATTATTTACAAGACACTACACAATAATACTCACCATACTTGCGATCTTTAGTCTTGTTGTTGTTATTGTTGCGGGAATGGAGCTTACGGAAGGCGTTCTCATCTAAGGCATCATATTCCGACTGATGAAAACGACAAAGATAACATTAATATTACGAGTTAATAAATATTTGTAAAGCTAACACAAGGTAATATAGTAAAAAAAAGCTCTATTCTTATCACTTGTTTCTGTTTTCTTCCTAAAGCTTTCATTTTAATCACAATCTTGATATCTGTTCAGTATCTAATCCTCCAAGCTTCAGATATTTTCTAAGTGAACCTACAGCAGTATTTTAGTACACATGGTTGTAATATACTTACCTTAGGCCGAGTAACCTGTCAAAATGAATGATGTTTTTAGCTTTATTTGTAAGGGGGTTTGTGTCGTACCCAGCTGTGATATATTGTGTACTATAGATTGTAATGGACAGAAACAGAAACATACACTGCTCACAGTTCCATAACGAAATGATCATCAACACACACACACACACACTACTACTACTACAGACAGAATATAACTCACCAGAAAGAATCACAGATAAGTGTATGAAGAACTAACTGGTAACACTGATGACTCACCTTACCATTGGGTCTTGGGACTGGGTTCGGATAGTTAGGACTGTCCCGTGGAGGCAGCTTAGGCGGCTTATCCTTACCCGAGCGGTCTTTACCCGAAGACCCGGAGGATGCACCTGACCCGGCTACGCTGTACGGGTCTTCATCTGGGAGGGGAATGCGTGGGCGGTTCCTGATGTTGGGTGTTACCTTGACTGAGGGTGGGAGAAGAGACAAACAATAAAAGTTTATAAATGGCCTAAAAATAATCATATAGAAGACGATCCTGGTTTAGATGTGACGTTACAACTGTTTGGAAATAATCACTGTACTTGGTATCTTATGTCTCTTTTACACACTGTTACTAAGTACTGGGCATAACCTGGCTCTAGGATCTACCTCAACATGGACCAGTATAGTTTAAAGTCTAGGTTTACATAAGCTCACACACTGGCAGATTAATCCCTATGTTTACAACTCACTGTGAAAAATTATCCCAGACAATTTTCTATACTTGTCTACCAACACTATAAGCTAGGTAACTATAGCACAGGCATCCTAATCTCTCTAATTCCTTTTAATACTACCATCAACAATTACAGTTATCTCCCTTGACCCAAGTTGGAATAGATCACAGAGCAACTGGTATTGGTATATCAGAATATTTCAAATAGCACCTCTGTAAATAATATCGATATGTATTCTGCTGTTCATTTATTTTTTATATGAGGAGCTATGAAACAAAGTCATTTTCATCTTAGTTTTTTCAGTTTCCACGTAATGTATTGTTTGTGGATACCCATACAGTATTTGTTGTTTTCAAGTATAGTATGATTATTGTTGGTGAATATACATTGTGTATAACGTCCAGTTGATGTTTATAATTACCTGGTGGGAGTTTACTCTTCAACATGTCCATAGCCACAATGTTGATGATCATAACCCAAATGGGACAGTCTAGGAGGTCAGGCTCATTCTTGACGAAGGCGATGACACACACACACTGGGTCTCAAGCTTGGAGCGGTCTGGGTACTGGCGACGCATTTCTCGCTTTACATTCTGCTGGAACTTGTTCATGTCAAAGAGCTGCAAAAGAGGAAGATGAGGTTAGGTTAAGATTATGATATGCTAGGGTAATGTCACACTAGATAACACCCTTCTCATGTGTGTCCCAGGCTGGGTAACTGAACCTAGGACACAGTCAAGAGAGATACACTTGTTGCTGCTTTAACATAGATATAAACCATAACACTGTATCTGTCTTTTGGCTCCTGTCAGTATCAGTATTTCAAACATCTTATATCCACTCCCTCCATCTGCCACATATTCTTGTACCCACGTAAGGCACAAAATAACATAGAACTTCAACATGACACATGAGGATACACAAGAACACTTCAGGACACACTTACCATGACAGGTTTCTCTGTCTCCAGGCCACAGTTGGGCAGTTTGAGGATCTCGTTACTGATGGCGTTATCATCGCTGCCCATCTTCACGTACACCCCAGCCTTGGACACTCGCTTGATGAGGATGTTCCCCTGATCATCCATCTTGACCTTGACACCCTAGAAAGAATGACTGATCATCCATCTTGACCATGACACCCTAAAAAGAATGACTGATCATCCATCTTGACACCCCAGAAAGAATGACTGATCATCCACCTTGACCTTGACACCCTAGAAAGAATGACTGATCATCCACCTTGACCTTGACACCCTAGAAAGAATGACTGATCATCCATCTTGACCTTGACACCCTAGAAAGAATGACTGATCATCCATCTTGACCTTGACACCCCATAAAGAATGACTGATCATCCACCTTGACACCCCATAAAGAATGACTGATCATCCACCTTGACACCCCATAAAGAATGACTGATCATCCACCTTGACATCCTAGATAGAATGACTTACAGTTTGGGATATAATTTCAAGATAAAAAAGAAGCTATTATTTATTCAAAGAAAAAACAAAAACATTTAAGAAAATTTTTTATTCCTTACATTACTTGACCACATTTTTATTTTTTACTAAAGCCAGACGATTTTATTCAGCTCAAAGAGGACCCCATACACCAGCTATTACAGTTCCCCCTTAAAAACAAAAGATAAAACAATACTTATATAAGTATCCGAGGCTTTCTGATGTACGGGAAGAAATTAGCCCTGAAAAGTGATGTAGGGGAAGAAATTAGCCCTGAAAAGTGATGCATGGAGACTTACATGCCCAATGTGACGCCTGATTTCCTCTGTTCTAGGGTCCCGCATCGGATTTTCAAAGCCACATAAACCGATCCTGCAATGTATGTATATGTACAATATATAAACCCTCCACTCTATACATATAAATGTTGTAATGTATATATATAACCTCCACACTCGTACATACAGAGCCTATCCTCGCTATTAGGTTGAATATATTTAAAAATTTCTTAAGTCAAATAATATGGATCTAAATATTTCTCGTCTCCACTTCGCTATTTCTTCTCCTTATCTTTCACTCATCCTCTTCCCACTTCCTCTTCTCCACCTTCCCTTCCTAATCCTCTCACTACTCCTGTTTTTCCTCTCTTCCAACTACACTTACCTACAGCACCCCATACAGAATAACGACACCCTGTAAGTAACCTACAACACCCCATAACTGATCTACAACACCCCATAACTGACCTACAACACCCCATAACTGACCTACAACACCCCATAACTGACCTACAACACCCCATAACTGATCTACAACACCTCACAACACCCCATAACTGACCTACAACATCTACAACACCCCCATAACTGATCCATAACACCCCATAACTGACCTACAACACCCATAACTGACCTACAACACCCCATATAACTGACCTACAACACCCCATAACTGACCTACAACACCCCATAACTGATCTACAACACCCCATAACTGACCTACAACACCCCATAACTGACCTACAACACCCCATAACTGACCTACAACACCCCATAACTGACCTACAACACCCCATAACTGATCTACAACACCCCATAACTGACCTACAACACCCCATAACTGACCTGTATCCATCAAAGCCGTCGTCAGAACCGTTGACAGTAAGGACAGGGGCGCGAGCATAGGCCTTAGCGACCCGTCTGTTTCGTTCCAACACGATCACTTTGGACCAGATCTCGTCGTCAATTTGTTCCCACTTCATCAATACTTCTTGAATGTGATCCTGTAAAAACACACCTTATGTATACTAAGTAAATACCGGGTATGTAGTAGAGGTAAATAGAGGTGATATAATAATAATAATAATAATAATAATAATAATAATAATAATAATAAACCAAATATCCCTATTAACAACAAAACAGATTCTATTTTCCAAGGCCACACACGTGGATTTTGGTGGATTCAGACGAAAAAAAATCTTTGGGGGTAAATCTGGGGAAATCCAAACAGACAAGCAGGCAGACAACATGGGGTAAAAATGTTGTGTGTGTGTGTGTGTGTGTGTGGTGGGTGGGGGGTGTAGATACTTTTACTTTTATCCTCTTCGCCGCTTGGGCGGTTGGTCACGTCTCTGTTACGCACTGTTGGCAAGTACGGGGCATGAACTGACTCCTGAATATATCTGAACCTGCTCCAGTGTTGGCCAAGTCTGGCCTTGAAACAGCTCACACCCTGTGCCGTCACAACGTTCTCTGGCAGATTGTTCCAAGAGTTCACAACTCTCACTCGAAAAAAATTGCCCTCACAGTTTTCTTGACTTGTGGCTTAATTCTTCAACCTTGAGCTGTGACCCCTTGTGTGGGGCGAGCGTCCGCCAGCTCTAGGTAAGGACAGTGAGTAGTGCCCCCGAGATGTTTTTAAACTTCTAATAGGTCGCCCCTCGTCCGTCTGTAGTATAAGCTGGGCAGTTGCAGGCGTTCTTATCTCTCTGGATAACTGAGGTGCCGGAGTGCAGGCACCAGTCTGGTGGCCCACCTTTGGACATTTTCAATTACCTGACAGTGTGTAGCATATCTCGGGACCAGACGGGGTGACAGCACTCCAGACGGGGAAACACTTCACTCTTGAAGATCGTTACGATAACTGAACGATCTTATAAGACCTACTAGTTTGGTTGCTTGATGTACACCTATAGATGGTCACTTTTATTTGTGAATTAAGCAGAGGCAATATAAAACAAGCAAGACATCAACACGAATACAATAAGCAAAAAACAGTGTAGCAGATAGTGTGGTGGCGCCACCTTCAGCCTCGTCCACCACATATTGCCACTCTTACTATTATATTTTACAATATTTACTTAACATACAAGAGCTCTACCTCGCTAACCTCTTATAAACTCATCTTTTACATATAAGTCTATTAATATCAGCCATAGTAATCATCTATTATCGTCTCTATCACCTGGAAATAGGGAAAATATGTTACACAAACCACTACCTCAAAAAAAATTCTCGTTCTGGCTACATTTCCATCAGCTACTCCCTCTCTCCCTCAGGATTTATCGAGTATATTAAGCAACAAAACCATTGCAAAAGCTGTCTCTACCAGTCACAGAACGATGCATGACACCAAAAGGAATCCAAAAGACAAAAAACAAAATATATATCAGCTAAAAGATACAGTCACTGTGGCGCGGCCCATGGGTGACGGGTTCTGTGCGGTACGACAACTGCATTAATATTTTCACCCTTAAACGAGATTTTCAGTCGCTATTAAACTACTTCCTTATTATTTATTACTGATCTAAGGTTTAATTATCTCAGGCATTTAATTTATCGTAAGTTTTGTTAAAGATGCAACGTAGATGACGGAGTGAGGTAAGACTTGAGTGAAAGTGAGAGGTGAGGGAGGAAGGGGGGTGGGGGGGGGCATGTAGAGCTGCCAGCGACCTCCTGACGGTGAGGTGAGGTCCATGGTGGAGAGTCATAGTGCCACAGGTAGAGTCATAGTGCCACAGGTAGAGTCATGGTGCCACAGGTAGAGTCATAGTGCCACAGGGAGAATCATAAAGCCACAGGTAGAGTCATAGTGCCATGTGTATCAAGTAGTGCCAAAGGTAGAGTCATAATGCCACAGGTAGTCATAGTGCCACAGGTTGAGTCATAGTGCTACAGGTAGAGTCATAGTGCCACAGGTAGAGTCATGCTACAGGTAGAGTCACGCACAGGTAGAGTCATAGTGCCACAGGTAGAGTCATGTCACAGGTAGAGTCATGTCACAGGTGGAGTCATGTCACAGGTAGGTTAGGTTGTGTGATGATGTGAGGAATAGGGGATGAGGAAAGGAGAAGGGATGAAGGAAGGTCGCTTGTGGGATGGGAGGGAGGGATGGATGGGGATGGGATGATGGGGGAGGGATGGAGGAGGAGGATGGGAGGGGGAGGGATGGAGGGAGGATGGGATGGATGGGAGGGAGGGATGGAGGGAGGGAGGATGGGATGGATGGATGGGGGATGGGATGGATGGAGGGAGGATGCGTGTGACGGGTGAGAAGGTAACAATTACAATGGGCAGGTAGCAAGGTAACGTCCTATACTGGTGCTCCGTGACGCAATAACACGGTGTAACAACTGTTGAACTGTGTGTGTTATAGGGGTGACATCATCCAAGTGGTGGCCCACCATCTCCGTGTGTGTGTGTGTGTGTGTAGGTGGGTGTGGGTGTAGCAGTGTGGGTGTAGGAGTGTGGGTGTAGGTGTAGCAGTGTGGGTGTGGGTGGAGCAGTGTGGGTGTAGGTGTAGCAGTGTGGGTGTGGGTGGAGCAGTGTGGGTGTAGGTGGAGCAGTGTGGGTATAGCAGTGTGGGTGTAGATGGAACACCCTGCACATTATGACTCACCCCCGTACACAGTCCTAGCAACACCTGTACGACAAACACCACCTCAGGTACACACACTAATTACCACCCGCCCCAAACCCTCATTTTAACCCCATTTCACCTTAAACATCAACGTATTATCACCAATTACCCATTTCTATCAAAATCTAAGCCAATTTAAATATATAAATTCATAAACATTGATCTGTGTTTAATATTTCGTGGTGTTGAGGTAATTCCAGTGTTTGTTGTTGTGTTCAGTACGAGTTTTGTCCGGTAGGTGGTGCTGACTGAAGGGAGGTTCTTCTTCACGGTCAGTTCATGGTCACAGGTCGCCGCCCACACGCCCACGCGCCCTCCATGCCTGACCCTCCCGCGGCGCCCACCGTTACCAACAACTACCAGCCAACACCCGAGAGAGAGAGAGAGAGAGAGAGAGAGAGAGAGAGAGAGAGAGAGAGAGAGAGAGAGAGAGTTGACTGTCTTAATATGCCCAGTTCTAATGGACCCCAAACTAACAGGCCCCAGTCCTATTTCACCCCCCCCCCCACTTCTGTCTCTCCCTATACCGTTCAGTTACTCTCTATTCTTCTCCCCCTTCCTACCTCCCCCTGCCATACATTCCTCTCCCCTTACCCGTTACCTCTTCCCTCCCACTCCTCCTCCTCCTCACCTGTACTCCACAGATATAAAGGAAATTCCTAACGCCTGGAGCAAAGAAGATGTGTGACGTGTGGGTGTATGTGTGTGTGTATGTGTGTGTTTGTGTGGGTGTTTGTGTGGGTGTATGTGTGTGTCTAAGCGTCGGTGTATGTGTGTGTTTGTGTGGGTGTGTGTATATGCAATCACCTCAGACGATAATAATAATAACACTACCATGAAACACAACTGAAAATATACATAATTTGGGACGTTTGTTTGTGACGTCACCACTATGACGTCACTCATGACCTCACCACCTTCTGAGGCTGGTAACGTCAGCTGGTCGACACGTAATAACGTTCACTTCTTCAGTACCGTTTAAAAAACAAGATGGCGATGTGTACATATGTAAAGGTGTTCAGTGTGCACGAATTAGGTACACATGTGCACTTTACACTGTTGGGATCGAACCAGTGTCATATAGGTCTGGAGTAGAGTGGTGTAGGACGGTGTGGGGGGTAAGGGAGGGAGAGGAGGGAGATGGAGGGAGGGGAGGGAGGGAGGGAGGGGAGGGTGGAGGAGGAGGGGAGGGAGGGGGGGAGGGGAGGGGAGGGAGGGAGAGGAGGGAGGGAGGGAGGAAGAGGGAGGGTGAGGGAGGGAGGAGAGGAGGAGGGGCAATAAACTGAAATCAAGGGTTAGGGCTTTGACCTGGGAGAGGGAGAGAGAGGGGAGGGGGGAGATGTCACATTCCTCTTAAGATATTTACTGCTGTAATACCCTTCCTCTTCTCCGCCCCCCTTCCCTCTCCCTCCTACTCCCCTTCCCTCTTCCTCCCTACCCCCTTCCTTCTCTCCGCCCCCTTCCCTCTCTCCTACTCCCCTTCCCTCTCCCTCCCACCCCTTCCTTCTCTCCGCCCTTCCTTCTCTCCCCTCTCCCCCCCCCCCACACAGGACAACAATAATAAGTATATACAAACTTACACTAGTTGAGTAAATTGTTATGTTGTGTGTGTGTGTGTGTGTGTGTGTGTGTGTGTGTGTGTGTGTACTGGGGAGGTAGGTATGGGTGCTGTACGAAGGAGCGGAGACAAGTTTGACCTGTTCCTTGGACCCCCCCTCCCTCTCTCTCTCTCTCTCTCTCAACGAAAGATGCAAGGGAGGGAGTTAGGAGGGGGAATTGATAGAGGGGGAGGGTGACAGCCTATGACATGACATGACAGCCTATGACATGACATGACAGCCTACAACATGACATGACAGCCTACAACATAACATGACAGCCTACAACATGACATGACAGCCTACAACATGACATGACAGCCTATAACATGACATGACATCCTACAGCATGACATGACAGCCTACATGACATGACATCCTACAGCATGACATGACAGCCTACATGACATGACATCCTACAACATGACATGACAGCCTACAACATAACATGACAGCCACCTAAGAGTGAAAGTAAAGGCACCGCGAATTCAAGTGGTGACCTTGTGTGTGTGTGTGTGTGTGTGTGTGTGTGACTGTTTTAAGAGAGAGCATTAAAGTGTGTGTGTGTGTATGAGAGGTAAGGTGTGTTGTGAGAGACAGTGAGCGTGCATTAAGGTGTGTGTACGTGTGTGTGTTGTGTGAGGGAGAGACAGGCAGAGAAACTAGAATACATGTGACGGGTGACAGACTCTACTTTGCATGTGACGTGACGGGTGACAGACTCTACTTTGCATGTGACGTGACGGGTGAGATCCTACTTTAC